CCAGAGAGATAAATCACAAAACCCCAATTAAACACATCTACAAACAACATACACACTTGCTTTGTAAACAGCTGCTTAGCTCTATATAAAAACCTCAAAACCATCCAGTAAAGGAAAAAGATCATAAAGAACTTCCCATTGGACCGAGAGCCTCAATTAGAAACTTCATTTTGCAGAACAACCACTGAGTTACATCACATGAGAAACATGAACAGAAATTTTCTGGCATGACTTATTAATGAGACTAGATTTATATGGAATTACTAATTAAAAGATGAATCCATTTTTCATTAGTAATTATTGTGAAGTCAGGATAACATAGGTCTCATAATACTTTTATTAGCTTTCAACTTAATATAAAGAACAAGAAAAACCCCTTTACTCAACCATGTCATGATAAATAAATAAGTAAACTGAACCACTGAAGGAAAAAGTGAAAACCTTTTTGAACTCCACCACGAGATCCCTTATACACTTCCATCCGCCAAACCGGAATCTGATAGATGCTCCCACTACGCGGCTCAAAATCCAAGCCAGCAACCTTGAAGAAAATCTGCCAAAGATGCTTAGTGCAAAAACTTGGCAACAATAACCTATCTAAATCACTTCAAGCCCGGAGAAAGAATGAAAAAGTTTATCCAAGTAATAATGAAAGAGTCCTATTTTGAACACATAAAATAACTCATCTTAATAACTGATGCAATTATCATCGCCCCGGTCAGCCCTTTGTTTCTTTATTTCAATTTTCAACTAAGTTCCAGAATGGTTCCTTTCTGTATACTGTTCAAAACTTCAAACTATACACCTACACTCCATATACACAGAAACCCCTACCCACTTTCACACACACATTGTCTTCACTGGTTTCCAGGGCTGCTAAAATTGTCCCAGCATTGCAAATTCGATATCTAAAGCACGCCTGTATGACGAATTTCATTTCCAAAACTAGCAAATTCTTAAATTTATCCCATTTCTAATTCCACAGGCATTGCAATTGGCATCAAAAACTGAATTGCACCCAACAAAATTCATAAAAATAAAACCCGAGTTCAAAGCATTCACATACCATACATACATACATACACATATACATATAACTTATATGAATGGGTTGTGGAGATGGGGAAAAGAGGGACGTACATGAAGAGGAGCCATAACGTGATGCAAATGACCAAGAAACAGAAGAGGAAATTGACGGGCGAAGCCGCCATTGTCGTCTGCCGGCGACGAGATTGATGATGCGATGAATTTCAGTAAATTGCTGCAGAGAATCGAAAAGGGGAAAGCATTCTGCGCTCATAACTTGATCATGTCATCAAAACCCTAATGGAAAATCAAAGGGAACCCAGCGACAGAGAGACTGACAGTTTTCTTTTTCTTCCCTTCCGTCGCGATCGCTTTGTAATTTTGTATGAGAGAGAAACTTCAGAGGCAGAGCAGATCCGATCCCTGAGGCACAGATCGAGAGAGAAAGAGAGAGAGAGAGAGAGAGAGAGAGAGAGCGCGTGGGAAGGCCTGGGATCAGGTGCGTGGCGAGTGTACGGGCAAGTGTTCTTGAGGAGAAAATGGCGAACATGTCCTTTGGAGGTTGGGGCGGGTGAAATAAGTCAACGCGCGGTTTTGATGTACCCTCTAAGGATTGCCATGAAGAACTTCCCTTTCAATTATTATTACTCTCCGTTTACACGGGGAAAATAAAGTTGGAACTATAAATATAGAATTTTTAAATGAAAAAAGTTTTTCAATTGCCAGTTTAATTTCATGTAATTAGTTATTATTTTCAAATTTTCATGAATGAGAGTTTAAAATAAAAAATAAAATAAAATTTTAATCATAAGTGGCCATCACAACAACTTCTATTAGCGTTGCCTCCACCATCATCATCGTCGTCACATCACCACCATAGTCACCGAGGCCATCTTGACCACCACCTACCGTTTGCACCACCACTTCCGCCTCTACTACTATTGTCACCACCACCTAGCATCACCACCGCTAGCACCCCACCATCATCGTCATCCTCTGTGTTAATAACGATGATAAGTGGGGTCCCTACCTACACTTCGTTAAGCATGGCACACTTTTTTACCTTGAAATCAAGGATCAAGACGTACTATAGTGTGATATTCCTACTGCATTTCAAAAGATATATTGGATAATCATAACAATTCATCTTAAGGGTAGTGCAATCGGAGGTGATCAGAAAGTTGTTGTGGAGATATAACTTTGGAAGACAGTAGCGAGGGGAGGGCTTTCGAATGAACCAATGCTCAGGCTTGTTCTAGGCATGCTAGTGGGTGCACGGCTATAGGGTCTTTGGACGTTTGTGTTTTGAAGGGCTCGCTCAATTTACTAGCATGTCAAAGGTGAATTCATGCAATGATGATGAAGCTTGTCCCTCGTGATGGACATAAGCAAAGCGAGGTGAACTTTCTTCGTTCCCCATGTTGAAATGAAGGTAAGGTTTTGATAAAGATCGGTACTTAGCCTAGCTAAGTTGAAGATAGTGTATTTATCAAAGTGTTGTTTTTCTGGCAAATCCAAATACGTTGGTGCACAAAATCGGGTGGACTTTAAGTCAACGTAAAGTGGAGTGTGAGAACCTTTGTGAGGATGCTTCGGTCACTAAGTGATGGTGATATGTGAGAGTCCTATGATCCAAAAGAGCTTAATTGTGAGGGAGAAGTCTCCTTTCATATATGAGGAGAGTCCCACATTCTTGTATGTGATCGATGTGGGACTCTAAGAATGTTATTGTAGTTTTGCCACATGTCCTTGAGCAAGTGGGCTCCAAGTTAGAGGAATGGATAACTCATTTGATCAAGGTTGTTCATGTGCTTCTTTATAGGTGCCTCTAGTGGCTTATCATAGATATTTATCATGCAATTTCTATCAAATATTAATACATCGTCAAATAACCCATAAATAGTTAAGGATTATGAGTCTGACTATAGCATATGTGTCAACCTCTTTCTTGTGTCAACCAAAAATCTTCAATACAATCACAGGTTAGTGGCATCTATAGCGTGCATGCGCACAAGTACCACTTGCAATTCACATTCCAGTACAACTTCTTCTCAACTAACAGTCACTTTATTATGTAGATCATTTGTCGTAAAACCAATTTTCAGGTAACCCTCAACTTGGTTAACCATTTACTCGTACATATTGCAGGTTTCGACAAAAGTTTAAATGAACCCGTTATTGAAAGAAAAATAGTGTGAAATTAGAGGATTTATTGAATAACTCATGCTTAAGATCAAATTAAAGGCGGAAGCTAGATATGCATATATTAAAAAACTAAATCAATTTCTCAAAATCTTCAAGGCGTAAAGGTTGAAGAACCATTTTTTTTTTTATAAAAAAAAAAGTTATAGAGATGAGATGATTACTCTTGAAGACTCTCTTTGGTTCCTAGAACCAAAGTTAAACATCTTTGAGGAAAGACTTTCAATCTTCATGAATGTAGTTTTCCTTTGTTTTGACGAGGATTCTTCAAAACTACCAAAGAAGATGATTTTAACTCTCCACCCGAAACATGAACAAAAAAGAAGATGAAATAACCATAAAGCTCCTCCTTGTGGTGGCCAATTTGTTTTGGTGAAGGGAGAGGTAAAGGAATGCTAGCTCTACATCATTCTCTTTCATGCACTCAAAATCAGAGGCGGAGCTACTAAGGGACTAGAATAGTCCTGGGCCCATCGTGCCTTTTTTCTTGCTATAATAACATATTGTTGTTGCTGCTGCGTATCAGTGGAATACCATTAAATTCAAATGTGCCATTCTTAATCTAAACTCTTTTTTCCTTTTACATGCCTCGTTTTTCACTTCATCTCTCTTATTTCAATGCAAACTCCCCTTCCCCTCCTTTAGCTATCAACTTTTCTTTGTCATCTCTTTTGTCCTTTTGTTATATTTTCAAATCTTTCATGCTTAACTCTTACCTCGTATTCAAGTGTTTGAGTTTGAGTTTGTACCATGTTTTTTGTTCTCTATACTGAATTTGATTGGTTTTCCCAATGTGCAATTTACTACAACTTTTCATGTTGTGAGGCCCCTCCTCACATGAAATTCTGACTCCGCCATTGCTCAAAATCCTAAAATCTTTTGAACAACGATTAAAAGGACAAGTGGTGGGTTGTGAGTGTGAATAGACTTCTTCTTTAGCCAGTTGCATTTGGTGTGTAAACTTTTTTTTAATAAATATATGAGGTATCCATCACAAATCACACATTGATAACAACCTAATTTTTTTTCATACAATTTGGTATAACAAAAGACGATAGCGTACTTTTGACTTATGAGTTCAATAGTATGTCAGAGCAGGAACCGCAACTCTAAAAACCATCTCTTATGTTAGTATAGAGTGAAATAGTATTATTGTTTGTAATAAATAAAACGATTATCTTGGTTTTATAAAAATAAATAAATAAAACACCTCAATCATTTCGATCATAAATAAATAAAACCTCTAAAAAATAGAAAAAGAAAACGAAACCTAAAACCTCAATAAAATAAAACGAAACCTAAAACCTCAATTGGAAAGTAAGGGTGCGTTTGGTACGTGGGACGGGACGGAACAGAGTGGGACGGACGTGTTCCGTTCCACGTTTGGTGCGCTTAAATTGTGTGGAACGCCTGTCCCACGGAACGAAAAAGGGTGAAATTTTGGTTCCACGTATCTCCCCTGGAACGGGTTGTTCCATCCCGTGGAACACAAAAATCATAAAATTTTAAGACAAAAATACCCCTTAACTTTTTTAATATTTACATCATCTATATCACACAACAAACCCTATAAGGCATCGGATAGTACTAATAATACGGTGTACGGTGTTTGGTGGTCGTTTGGATTAAATAGGCACCGGATTAAATAATCCGGGCCCACCTTTTTTACACGGCGTTCACCCGCTTGCTTATACCGTCCATATTCACGGTATAACTTAGTCGGCCTCGTCTCGATTCCTTTCCGCTCTCGCTGTCGCTGTCGCTCTCGCTCTCGCTTCCTCTCCGCTCGCTCTCGCTCTCGCTTCCTCTCCGCTCGCTCTCGCTCTCGCTTCCTCTCCAGGCGCTCTCGCTTCCTCTCCAGACGCACTCTTCCACTCCAGGCGCTCTCTCTTCCTCTCCAGACGCACTCTTGCTCTCATCCCAGGTTTGTCTTCTCAAATTCTTCTTCTTCGTTTGAATCACAGTTCGTCTTTTCAGTTTTCTTCTTATGGGATTCCACCCCTCCCTCTATTCTTCCCCCTCCTATTTTTCTTGCAATTTTCTTTCAATTGATTGAAGCTAGTTATTATTCTCTCTAATTATGCAATTGATTATGTAATTTTGTGTTTTAATTAAAAATTTTTAATTTTAGGGTTTGCTATTGGGGTCGAATTTAGGGTTTGTTGTTGGTTGTCTCTGGCGCAGTTCCCGTTTCACTTGTTGTCTCGCAGCTGCAACGCAACCATACGGACGGTAAGCCAATTTCTCTTCGCTATTATTTTCTCTCTAATTTTGCACCTACTGGGATCAAATTTTGGTGGGTTTTGTGAATTGGGCATCGATTTCTGATGCTTTTAGAGAAATGGGTTGTCAGTGATGTTTTGATATTTCAATAGTTGGACTTGTGTGGCTGCATGCGTTTTTTTATTTTTGCTGGGTTTAGCTAACTGGGTTGTGCGGTTAATCTGTTTTTTCTCCAACTTTCTTACGATTTAAGTGCTTTTAGGTGAAGTACTTCCTGTGCCTATTTGTTCTGTCTTAGTAGCTCAGAGGTATGAAATTTGATAGTATTTCGTGTTAATTTTTAATTGAACTTGAAGAATGAGGAATGCATATCTTGCTTGTGATTGGGTAGAGTGGGAGTGGGAGTGTGCTTCCTGTGCCTATTTGATTGCGTGTTGAAGTATTGCTTTGTTATGATTTCCTTTTGGTCTGGCATTCTGTTGGATGGGTGTTGAAGTACTGCTTTGTTTTGGTTTCGTTAGCAGTTGTGGTTTACTGAATAGAATTGTTGATTGGATGTTGAAGTATTGCTCTGTTGATTGGGTGTTGAATAGAATTGTTCTGGTTTCGTCTAGTGAAGATGTTATCTTGACTCGTTTGACTGTGTTTCTTTGCTTGTTCTTATCCTTCCTGCTACTGTTTTTTCTTGCTGTTGGTGCAATTTTTAATCAGCTGGTGTGGTTTTCTTCTGTCCGCTGAGTTTCCTAGTTATCATTTCACCAAAGTTTTCAATGAAGAGAGCTGCTAATGACAATGATCTTGCTGTGACATTTAAAGAAATGCTTTCTGAATCAGTTGATAAGTTGGGTGAAGTTTTACAAGCTGCTTTTGGGAAGGAGTGGATCCAAAACTTGAGATTGCTTTAGAATTGTCAAAGATTGTAGTTGTTTTTTGTGTATCTTTTATGTTCCTGGAAAATATTTTGAATTTGATGTATGGAATTTACTTTTTTATTTTATTTTTTTGTTATTTGAAGATTTGTGTGGTTTTCAATAGGTATAAATATGAGAAAAGTTCAACAAACAAACAAAGATTTGTCAATTTTTTTTTTCCCTTGTCCTATCCGGTTCAATACCAAACACAGTATAAATAATACGGTCATTAGTCCGATACTGCACCAAACGCCCGACTAATTTAGTCAGTACTATCCGGTGGCTATTTATCCTATCCGACAGAAATAGTCAGTACAGTCCGAGCTGCCAAACGAGGCCTAAAACTACCATTTCTCTTCTCTCTGCCGTTTTGTGAACTTGTTCATCCCATCTCCCCTTCGCAACCTTCCTCCTCATCCTCTTCCGTGTAGCCTCTCCGTGAACTTTCAGCTTTGCATCTCCCTTCCAGGTTCGATCTAATTGTGATTGTGTAGCTTCTCAGTCTCTCTTTCTTTGTATTTTGTAGTACTTTCTCTCTTGGTTTGGTGTTTGCTGTACATTTGAAACTAAATCCCATATATTCTTACAAATCCTCCAATCTTATCTTTAATTAATTTTGATGTAAATTTGAAATGACATTATTATTCTTTTCTGATTTGCTTGTTTCGATTTCATTAACCAGTTCCTAATTCTGCTGAATTTCTTTGTATTCTTTTCTGATTTGCTTGTTTTGATTTCTTTGTATTTTGTAGTGCTTCGATCTGCCCAATACTGCATCTGCAACCAAAGATCCGCCTCTGTTTATCTCCTTCCACTCCCCCTATTGAGCAGTACTGCATTTAGAGGTATCTCTCTATCTGGATTCATTTTTTCAGTGTTCAAGTTTCGATTTTTATGTGCTGAAATCTATAAATCTGATGTCTTTGGGTTCTGTTGGATTGGATTGGGTTACATGTTTTGGATTTTCCTCTGTTGGATTGGGCTCTCTGTGTTGGATTTTCCTGTCAATCCCAATCTTAATGGTGTTTCTGTTAATTGGTGTTGTGTCTCACAGTTTTCATCTTCATCGACTATTGGGTTGGATTGTAGAGCTTCGCTGGTTCTCTAAAATTTGTGTGTAGCAATCGAAACTAATGCCCAATATCTAACTTCAAACATTTAGTTTTGTGCCATTGAAACTGCAGTCATATGTAATAAGTCGATGAATGTAGTTTTGTGCTATTGAAACTGATACTCTGTTCACCTGACTTGCTATCGGTGTAGCGGTATTACTGTAAAGAAACAAGTTCAAACTAGTGCTCTGTTATAGCAGTTGTTTCAAACTTCAAACTTTCGCGTTAAGTTTAACTTCACAACATCAAGAATTTGATTAAAAGTTGTAAATTCATGTCCTCATATTGAATTATCTAGTGATTTTTGTGTTCCTGTGGCAGGCAACGACTCAAGCTTCTCTCTTCCTCCTCTTCTTCTGATTCATCTTCTTTCTCTCCCATCGAGCTTTACGTTTTGACGATCTTTAGGGTTTTGAAATCTGAAGCTTCAAAACCATGGAAAACGCTTCAAATTCAAACCCAATCTCTGAAAATAGAGTAAAGCAGTGAGTTCAATTTCTCAATCTGCAATTATGCTGATTGGGTTTCGATATTCGAATTCGGTATGATATTTACATTCTGTTGCTTTTTGTTTTTTCAGAGAAGCTCCCCAGCTTGCTGCTTTGTTGAGAGAAATGAAGGAAGGATTAGATACAGTGAGGGCAAAAGTCCAAGCTTTAACTGCAAAGGTAAACGAGTTCCCTCTTCTGGGGTCGTTTTAGTTTCGCTATCAGTTTATTTCGGTCAAGAAATCTTGTTTCGAAATTGTTCTGCCAGTTTGTAGGCTGTAGGAAAACTGTTTCTGGATTGATAGTGTGCTTCCTTGAGGTTGAATATTAATTTGAGGGATAAAAACCGATTTGACTAGAAAGCTATGTTTTTTTTTCGAAATTTTCCATTTTTTAAAAGGCACTTGTTTCATTTGTTTTCTTCTCCATGTCAAATGTATCAGGTGAAAGCAAATAATTATCCGACAGCAGATGGGATAAGCTATCTTGAAGCCAAGCATTTGCTGCTTCTAAACTATTGCCAGTCACTTGTCTATTACTTACTTCGTAAGGCTAAAGGGTTTTCAATAAATGGGCATCCCGTTGTTCGTAGCCTTGTGGAGATAAGGTTGTTTCTGGAAAAGGTATGGGCCTCTGGTGATCTTTTTTTCCTTTTCTTTGTCGTTCTAGTAACCGTGTAGTCAGTTATCAATCAATTCTCACCCTTTTTGTGTGCAACAGATTCGACCCATTGACAAGAAGCTCCAGTACCAAGTTGAGAAGCTCACCAAGGTTACCACAAGCAAAACCGAAGATGTAGGGCCAAGTGGGAAGGAACCACAACCCAATGTGCCTCAGCAAACAGATGATTTGCTGAGATACCGCCCTAACCCTGACATGCTTGTTAGCAAAACAGATGTGAATTCTAAGGTGAAATGTGCATCAGTACAATGTTTGAATTCCTCTTTTGTCATCTGCCAAACAATACTCAAGGTTTCTTCTTCTATTTTGTATATTGTAGGCTGGTAAGGATGTGTATCGACCTCCCAAATTTGCCCCGACTTCGATGGATGAAGATAAGTTGTCAAAGCATGAAAAAAATGCATTGAGAAGGGATAAGAATACTTTACGACAAGCTAAGCAGAGTGCTTATGTGAGGGAACTGGTGGATGATTTGGAGGGGAGGCCTGAAGAGGTTTGTTGTGGCCTGTTTTTGTGGAGTTACCAGGCATGACTGCTGGATATACCGTTCTTGTAACTGCTGTTTTTTATGTCAATTACAGATTGTAGAAAGTGTCGGAGCTGAAAGCATAGAACTAGCGAGATACAGGGCAAAGAGGGATGAACGTGAACGGCAAGAAGAGGAACTTTTTACGCGTGCTCCTATTACAAAGAAGGAGAAACAGAGAGAAAAACACTTAAAGAAATCAAGAAATGGGTAATTGACATTTGAGAAATTATTTATGATTTTCCTTTTCAATTATTCCAAATTTATTTTTCTGTAAGATCTGTTGATGGATGGCTGTTCTGAATTGTTTCTATCAGGTTGCTTGGTTTGACGGAGAATTTCTATGATGAAATTAAGGGTTTACCCTTGGACAATGAGAATGATGAGCAGGTTGCAAGCTCCCGCAGTGCTAGGGGTGGAATGGGGAGGCATAAGAAGCGCAAGGTATATCATAATCTCTTAAAAAGGAATCAAGTTTAGTTTATGAAATATGTGTCCGTCTTTTGTTCTGAACCAACTGCATTTGTGAACCTCTGTTTCCCTAGGACATTTTCTAACGTGCAAATTCAACGTTAACTGTTTTATATTTCCATGAAGTTGTTCGTTTGTACTAAATATGTGGGTATAAATTTAGGACGCGAATGGCCGTGTTATAGAAGCCTATTGGAAAAACGGGACAGCATGTCCTGTTCTCACAGGAATATGCGTGTATAGACTTCTGTAGGCAGACCATTTAGTGATATATGCGTCTTTATATTGAATGCTCGAGCCTTTGTATAATGTGGAAAAGTACTGTTTTGGTATCTGAACTAAGACTCTGCCGATTACTGATTGTACCATCTTCATTAGAATATTTGATGGTGGGCTATAACTTGCCATGCTTATGCATTTCTTACCTAGTCGCAACTCATCTAGGAATGCCTGCATTTCTTTTTCTCGTTTATGTTTACTTATGGTCAGAGTATTGAAGTTGCACAAAACGACACCTATAAATTTACTGCAGAACACTTCCTATTGTTCTCCCTTCTATCAATCCATATCATGCATGTGAATTTTGCTTGGCATTTCATGTAATATCTTGATAGAGCAGCCCAGCTGGTGAATGTTACGTACAGTAAATCTGTCTAGAATCAAGACCTTCACTGAAATTAGTTACAAGATTGTTAGGGTTTTGTCGCAGCCGAGTGATCTCTAATGTGTATAATTACCGGGTGTACCAATTCCTGAGTGATTAATTGGGTGAATGTTTATCTTAATTCTCAAATCCTTTTAGCAAGCTGCTGGATTATTTCTGTTTTTGCCCGAACCAGTACCATCGAACCTTCTAAATTATCCAGCTGGCTACTCGGGTTTTCTTGTGTGCATGAGTTTCTAGTATTCAAATTTTTTCTTCTTCCATATTTGCTTTTATTTATTCATGGCTTCAGTTGGTTTTATGCTTTATTTGATTTTATGATATTATCGCAAAGACATTGACACTTTCGACTGATTGTGCAGATGAGGCGTTGAAGGAATAGCGTATGCCAAGCTTGACAACGCCCAACAATTTATTTGCCGGGCAAAGCTCCGATTGCTCCAGTAGCATGAAATAGCTTCCTACAAATCTCAAGTGTTTTTCTTTTGGCGGCAGACCAATTAGGGAACAAAATTTTGTTTGGACCGATTAGAGTTGTTTGTTTTAATCTTTTTGTTCTTGCATCTAACCCTACACCAAAGAAAATTTACTTGCTTTATCTCGTGTCGATCTTACATGCAATTACCAGTACGTAAATTACGATTGAAGCTCCATAATACGACCGCATCTGTACAAGTTTTTCTTTCGATTCTTGTTCAACATGACCCGTTTGAACGAGGGCGGAGCAAAATGAGTTATATTCCAGTTCTTAAAGAGAGCGTTAGGGAAAAGGTCATGCTCTTTACTGGGATTGAGTAGGATACAATGCTGGACTGGACGTGACTAGAGATACATTTTTTTTTTAGTATAACGATATATTTTACATATTAGACGAGGGGAAGAGTTAGGATAAGCCACACAATAAGCAATCTAGTGTGGTATCGAATTCGTCATCTACAAAATTCAGACCTTAAGTCTCTCACTTATGAGTGAAAGAATACTACTAGACCCTAATATTGAGTGGCGACTCGAGATACAAATTGAATATCATGGATATATAACATCTTTCAACACTTGAGTTGGTATTGTAAACTAATTTCAAGGCACATCCTTGGCAGGCAGGGGTAATGTCAAGTTGTCAATTTATGCGCTTGATGTGGTCATATTATCAGGTAATATGACCCTCCCTCTTCCTTGGGAGTCCTCCTCTCCTTTTTATTTATTTATTTATTTTTTATTTATTTATATAAACTCCTATTTAACTATCTAAATCAAACTTGAAACGTCTGTAACTTCTTTGTCATCGCCTGGATTTGCAAACGATTTCGCATACGCACTCGTGTGATCGCTTTCTATTCGAAAACACTAGGGGTGATCCCCTTCATCTACGGATTTTATATGATTATTTTCAAAAAATCACTTTGTAATTAAGTAATTAAAATCTAAAATAAATTAATTAGATTAAATTCACATAATAATATAAAAGCCCGTAAATATGAAATATGTAAATTACAATAGTGAAATCCAGGAATAAGTTTTCACATTGAGGGTGTTTGATGAGCCGATATTATACTATATATTTTACCGTATGTTTTGGTATTTATTTTGGTTGAATTTTTATAAATTGATTTATATTTCTAATATAGGACATTCAACTTCCTCTTGAGAAAAAAGTATTCAAATGGATGAATTTTGGAGTGATTTCAATAGAAGGATGTTTCTAAGTCTCTTAGCTTGTTCGTGTCAAAGTTACAAATTTTTCTACCCAGGAATTTATTTATAGTGATGAAATCAAAAGAAGCATCGTGCAATGCTGTTAAAGTGATATTTTGGGCTTATTTGGGCTTTGTGGTGTCTAAGATTGTGTCTTTTGCTATTGGTTTCATCTTGGAACTTGGTGAGGACGTCCTAAGCTTTAATTCAATTAGTTTTGGGCTTGATATGTAGCCTTGAGATCCAGAAACATGGCTAATTTTTGGCTGGGCAAATTTCCATATTTGATTAGAATTATGTTTGTTAGTTTCTCTTATTCCATTTTGTTTCCTAGGTTTTGAAAGATCTGTTCTAGGCAGGATTTTATTTTGTAGGAGTATAGATAAGGTTGTTTAGCCATTAGGGTTCTGAACGCATCAATTTGGAGAACTAGGCTAGGCTTTGACGATTTGTATTCTCAAGATGTTTTCTATCCTTTTTCTAGTTCAATAAAATTCCTTTTGTTTTATGATTTTTTGTAACTAATTTTCTTTTGTAACGAAGTCATGAGCCTTATCATGAATATGTTGTCTTTTATTTAATTATCTATGATATTATGCATGCATACTTTGAATTATTAATCACCATATTTAAACTGTCTCTATATCTTAATGATCAACTACCATTAAGATGTTTCGATAAGTAATCGTATGCAATTCGATCGGAATATCATCTTAGGATTGAGTATTGCTTCTTGTGATTGATAATTGTAATTTCACATATTCGTAAGGGTTGCATGTTTTTTCAAAGCGTTTTTACCTAACTTAATGAGTTTTGCATGTTCACATTTGATCTAAATACCACATACGTATTGCATGTTAGATATACGTTCTTACTTGAATATGATATATCACGAGGAGAATATGTATAAGAAAAACCTAACATTCAAAATTGCATGTTTAATTCATAAGTAATTGGTAAAATTACATAGGATTATTAAAGTGACTACGGAACCCTAATACTTTTACAACTTAATTTTTAAAAATTGTTTACTTTTACTTTCCTTACTTTGACGCTTTCTCTACTTGTTTTAATTTAAATTTGTTTTTAATATTTTAAATTCCAAAATCAACGTTTTCTAAACTTTGTTTTCAAATAATTAATTAAAGATTATTTTAAATACAAATTATTCATTCAATTCCTGTGAAGGACGACATTGCTTAAGCTGCTATATTATGCTAAGCTTCGTATATTTATGTAAATTGCTACCGCCGGCTTTAATATGGTGTCGTGTTGTTTCAGGTACAACACTAAGCACATGAACGGGTTTTTAGGTGGACACTGCTCTATTTCTTAAGATTTTAATTATGACAAACAATTTTATTTTAATTTCATATTTGGTTTGCAATTTTAACAAAAATTATGCATAGTTCAACAAAATTAAATTTAAAATTACAAACCAAATATGAAATTAAAATAAAACCGTTTGTCATAATTAAAATCTTAAGAAATAGAACAACGGGTATCCACCTCAAAACACGTTCTTCTGCTTAGTGTTGTACCTAACACAACACTACACCATATTAGAGCCAGCAGAAGCAATTTCCAAGAACAAAATATACAAATCAAAATATGTTAAAAATAATAGGGACACTTGGTTTAGGTCCTTCAACACTAAAATCATGCCTCTCCTAATTGTAGTCACACCGAATGTTCTGGTCCTAAATGCCTAAAATTAGAGCATATTTTGGTGAAGCCTAAAATGGCTTTTTTTTTATTTTTTATTTTTTTTAAATTATAAAATTTTTAAAGAATACAATTTAATTATAAAAAAAAAAAGAAAACTGTAAAAATACAAACGCAAACGCGTTTGAAACAATTTGAATTGCTTAGTACCCGAGCTGCCAAGGGTGATGTTTGACATATTAACCCACATGTCAATTTCAACTACCACATAAAAAAAGGATGATGATTCATTTCTGCAATTTGGTGCGTGCACACTTTTTTATGTGGTCGTTGGGATTGGCATGTGGGTTAATATATCAAACATCACCCTTGGTAGCTCGTGTAATAAGCGGTTCAAATTGTTTCAAGCGCGTTCGTATTTGTATTTTTATAATTTTTTTTAATTAAATTGTCTTCTTTAAAAAAAATTGAGAAAAGAGCCATTTTAGGCTTCACCAAAAGTGGGCTCTACATTTAGGTGAGGCATGGTTCCTTCCTTCGTTGTGGATTCTTCTCCCTTTATTATTTATAATAACTCTTTGGCTACCAACTCAAAGAGTAAATCGGTGGTGGTGTTGTAAACCCTACTGCCAGTCTTCCAAAAGCAAAAGTAAAATGTATAAGTCACGGCTAAACAAAATTTGACAAAGCTGCAAATGGCAGTTGCCTGTAAGACCACTACGGTCGGTCCCAATCACATGCTCCAGTTCTTCTTCACTGTAACTGTCAATGGGAGCAACTTCCAGATGGTCGAAATATTTAGGTCGTCAAAAGAAGCTCAGCATGAGGTTGCCAAGGTCACTATCGAACACCTCTCATGTTGAGCTTGGCAACCTCATGCTAAGCTTCTTTTGACGACCTAAACATTTTGACCGTCAGGAAGTTACGCCCATTGATAGTTACAGTGGAGAAGAACTAGGGCATGTGGTCAGGATCGACCTTAGTGTTCTTACAGTTAGGCAACTGCCATTTACAGTGTTGGCAAATTTCATTTAGCTGTGACTTATACATTTTACTTTTTCTTTTGGGACATTGACAGGTGTTTTTGTTCAGTTTTGGGATTTTCGGTTTGAGATTTTTCAGTTCAATTTTGGGATTTCTTTTGTTCGGTTTGGAATTTTCGTTTTTTTTTCCATTCCTACCTAAATGTAGAGCACACTTTTGGTGAAGCCTAAAATGCCTATTTTATCTTTTGTTTTTTAATTTAAAAAATTTAAAGAACACAATTTAATTAAAAAAAAAGAAAAAAGAAAAATGTAAAAATACAAACGGAAACGCACTTGAAACAATTTGAACTGCTTATTTCCCAAGCTGCAATTTTCAAGCCCAAGTTATCACATAAAATATGTAGCTATAATCATTTTTGTCCACTTCATCATAATTTATCAAAATAAGTTATGTTGGAATGATCATTGCTACAATTGGAGTCCCTTACCTTATCAAAACGTGCAGTTATGATCATTTTTATCAACTTCGTTAGAATTTTGTCAAAATAAGTTAGGTTGGAATGATCATTGCTACAATTAGATTAAAAGTTGAGGGACCATTGCTCCAATTAAGTTAAAGTTGAAAAAAACATTTCTCCAGTTGGATTAGAGTTGAGAGACCAATGATAATAATTTTTTAGTTGAAAGACCATAGTTCCACGTTTTGATGAATTGAGAGATCAATGGTAATGAATTAGAACTTTGGAGGGTTCCAAGTAGGCAACAAAATTTTGTTTGTTTTAAATCTTCTGTTCTTCTGTCTAACCCAAGACCAAAGGACACCTTACGATGATATTTACTTGATTTATCTTGCGTCAATCTTATATGCAATTCCCAGTACGTAAATTACGATTGAAACTCCATAACCTGACCGCATCTGTACAAGTTTTTCGTTCGAATTCTGGTTCAACATGACCTGTTTGAACGAGGACGGAACAAAATGAGTTGTATTCCAGTTCTTAACGTGACCCGAAATATATATATATATATATATATATATATATATATATATATATATATATATTTTTTTTTTTTTTTTTTAGTACAAATATTATTTTACACTAAGGGGAGGGGGAAGAGTTCGGTTAAGCCACACAATGAAAAACCTAATGTAGTATCACATTCGCCATCTACAAGATTCGAACCTAAAATAAAAACTCACTTACGAGTGAAGAGAATACCATCAAACCTTAATATTGAGTGGCGACTCGATATACAATTTGAA